CGTATGTGGGGGGGGAATCTATGAAGGTGTGGGATGCTGTGGGTGTGTGTCTGGGGTTTGGAGCCCGTGGGGTGTCCCACATGCCCTAGCAGGATACAGAGTACTGTGGATCAGAAGCAAGGAGCAGCAGCAGGGCTGGAGGGGGCTATGGTTTGGAAGTGAGGGGCAGGCACACAGACACAGACAGCACCCAGCTGGTAAGTCGGTGGAGGAGAAGGGGGGGGAGGGGAGAGGGACGGAGGGGCACAGAATCCCCCATGGTGAGGGAGGAAGTGGGGCAGAGGCTGAGATTAATGGGGCCTCAGGGCCAGGGCTGCAGACAGCTCGTCCAGGGATGCGGGGGGAGCACGAGTCCCCAATGCTGCGCACACCCCCAGGGAAAGCATAGGGGAGCATGTGCCCCCTGGATTTGTGCACAAGATGGAAGCAGGCTGCCTGCTGAGGCTCTGTGCCCTGCTGTCTTTGCCCTGGGAGCCACACGATGCCATGTTGTGCCTCCCACCACTGGGTGGGCAGGAGAAACACAGCACAGTTAGCCCATGGCTCCCGGGGCAAAGGCAGCAGGGTACACAGCCCAAGTCTGAAGCAGGAAGCCCACCTCTGCCCCGCTCACAAATCCAGGGGGCACATAAACCCCCATGCCTCTCCTGGGGGTGCACGCAGTGGTGGAGAGCCGGCTCTGCCCTGCACAAGCCACCCACAGCTCAGTCCCATGACCCATCCTGGCTCCAGCCCTGGGGCCCCATTCACCTCTGCCCCACTCCCTCCTTCACGTGGGGGCCTTGAGCTGCCCTCCCCCTACTCTATCCCTTTGCCCCCACCCCTTCTCCTCCACAGACCTACCTGCTGGGAGCTGCCCCTGGGCTGCATTCCTGTGCCCCACCTCCACTTCCTGTTGCAGCAGCTTGGAGCCCATGCCTAGGCTGCCCTGCAGCTCATCTGCACTGCCAACACTGCCCCACTGGTATCCTGGAGGCAGTGGAGCGAAGCCCAGGCACAGACTCCAAAACCACGTGTACGATTAAAGCGTTAAAAAAATTAACGCCAGTTAACAGGTTAATCATGCACATTAATGGCAATTAATTGACACCCCTAATTTTAACCATGGATGGCAATGGATTTTAATTACGGATTTAAAGGTTTAGTTCTTTCAATTCAAAGACCATTTTAAGTCTCAGGTTCAAAACCTACAATGAGTGTGGATAAACAGGCCTCAAGGGGCACTCAGGAAGAATAAGTTTAAAATGGCAAAAAGAAAACATAAGGGCAATGGAACCTTTCATTTCCTTTACCCTCTCAGCTATTGCATCATTTCAGACTTTTCTGAGAAATAAACGCACACAGATGGCTGTGGCTACGACTACAAATCTGACAAGGATTCCTTTCGTACTTCTCACAGATAACAAGGAACACCCTCTATAATTAAAATCATAGAGGTGGGTGACCACAGAATTTTTCTGCCTTTCTGTTAATCTATTAAAAGTTGTAGTAGCTGAGTACAAACATGACTTTCCAAGGAATACGATGCATACACATATTTAGGGCAACCATACTAGTGGAAGACCCTAGGGTTTAATTCCCAAGCTACTGGTTAAAGAAATTTGAGACTGGAGAAGGTTAATAAGTTGCAACTGAGACCAATACCTATCAGGAGTAAGGATGTAACATGAATTTAATTCTTACATGTACATTATAAAGATTTAAAGGAAAGCAAAAGTCATCCCAAGACGTTAAAAAAAACAGTTCATAATATTCTCCTGAACTCACTACAATTTGTGTCTTGCAACTCAGTGTTGAAGCTGGCTGTCTCTACAAAAAATTTCTGCACACTTTGAGGTTATTTAACTGGCACTACGATGTTTACATATCCACATCTTAAGTTTCCAAATGTTGTCATCTTATTCAAGTAGTAGCATTTTGCCCCTACCAATAACCTTAAATGACAGAAGGCTGTATTCCTTTAACTAGTTATACTGGGAAGTGGGGATGAGGCTTATAGATCATCTTCTTCTCAACAGTATGCAGTTATGTATACCAAATTCTGTTACCTTAAACTACTGGTTCTCAACCTTCTTAGACTGAAGACTCTCCCTCAGAAAATGCCAGCACTTAGTTTTCACTCACTTTCAGCTAAAGAAAAATAATAAAGTGATTCATCTGTTGCAAATCACTCAGCAAGATCACCACAGGTCAGAATGTTTTTAAAACACCGAATTCTTATTTGAAATCTCTGGGTTTATCTTGTAAATTGTGTTTCCACACTTAACGGGGCTAATATTGCATGACACCCAGCATCACACTTAAAAGGATCTCAGCACACCCCATGGTACCGTAAGACTGGTTGAGAATCACTACCTTAAACACTGCTGCTGGACAGACTCTCTTCCAGAGGCAGAAAGGGATACCTCCCCAAATTACCCTTATATGAACATGGTGAGATGACAAACACAAAAACTGATTACAATGGCAGCACTGAAGTATACTACTTGATATCTCTTAAATCCGTCATTAACAGAAATTCAAAATTGTGCTTAAAATGTACTGCACTTGAGTGAAAATTAAGAGCTGGCATTCTCTGGGGGGTGGGGGGGTTGAGTCTAAGAAGGTTAAGAACCACTAATTTAAGGTAACAGAATCTGATGTATATAACTGCAAACAGGTCTCACAGGGCCCGTTTGGTGCAGCTGTTGATCCTTCAGTTCTGCTTGCAGCTACAGCCCTAGTTGATAAAAGCAAAACTCTAATTCAGGTAATGAAGCTCTTCAATAAACTGTTTACAGCCAGATAAGCATTGCAGTAGTGCATAATTTCAAAGACCAACAAAAATCCTCCAAGGATAAAAACTATCCAGTATGAAAAATCTAAGTATTTTTTTTAAATAAAGGCTAGACTAACAGTTTTAAAAACATTTTTAATGAGCCTTTTGTATTAATAATTGATCATTTTTTAAATCTGTAAATGCATTAAAGAGGCTTGACATCACTGAGCCATTCTATTTATAATTAGACCTTTATATTTACAAAATTTCTGCAGTCAGAAGATTAAACAGACTGCAGTTGATTTGTTAGTAACAGGTATTATAATTGGGAAAACAAAGTATTCTAGGACAGAACATAAGCAATGTTATTTCATTTCTGGACAGTAGAGGGACCATTATGATCTACTCAGCACAATTCTCTGCATTACACAAACGACAAACTTCAATTTAGTAATTCCTGAATTAATAACATAACTTTTGGTTGAATTTTATCTTAAGTTGTGGTAATGTGGCTCCATTTGCAAATGCACCACTGCTCTGATTCCAAACAGAAAAATACTGTATTCAAGAGAAAAAAAAAGGGGGGGAAGAGATAAAAAAAGTCTAACAAGGTTAAAATAGGATAGCAAAACTGCAATGCTGTGAGTAACCAGTAATTAAAAAAGAAACACCTACATGTTGAAATTAGGTTATCATGCAGATCTGTCAGAATTAAATATAACGTATGCCAACAAAAGACCAACAACACTAAAAAAAGTGTTCAAGGAAACAAGTTCAATTTTTAATTGTAGGTAAAAACAGGCAGTTAAGCTTGATTTCTGCATAATGTAGTGAGACTACATATTTCACCTGATATCTGCTAATATTTCTCAAACTACCTAAATTCTTGTTCAGAACTCAGTTAGAGATACTGTAACGACTTAGTGAAAAAATGCAATTTCTATTTTATCCGCAGTGCACTGTTAGTGTATGTCCAGTTAGTTAATTAGTGATGACCAATAAGCTTCATAATATGTACACTGGTCAAGCTGATCCGCTTTTCAAAATATTAACTTGTTTACATGTCAAATGACTGATTTTAATCAGATGGAGTTTGCTTGTGTCAAAAAATAGCAATTAGCACACTAGGATTTTGATTTTATCCCAAATTAAACTAAATTTGGTAAGTGAAGATATGGTGAAAAAAATTACTGTTCTTAAAAAGCTGAGCCAATCTGTACAGTTTAATCCTTGTTACTGGAATGCGACAAGATGACATTTGAATCTAAGTTAATATAGCTCTCCTCTGAAATACCAAAGCAAAGAAAAAATTAAACAGAGACTATGCTAATTGAGATGTCACAGCAGTGACTAATTAAAGTAACCTTTCCTTGACCCACAGGACATACCCACCCACAGGAGGGTATAAACAGTAAAAGAAAAGCCAGCAACAGAAGGCACCCAGAGAAGCTGGCCCATTTATGAAAGCTTATGCCTTAGTCCCTAACGTGCCATCCATGCCCTGCCTTCTCTCCACAATTTATAATCATTAAACTCCAGAAGCTACTAAATCAGCGCTAATGCAATTTAATTTGAGAAGCAGCATAGTACTAAATACGGGAAAAGGTAATCCAGCACTGAAAGTGCCCTCTATGTTCTTCTTATATTAAATGAAAAGTATGACTTCTGAAATCCTTGCAAGTATTCTAACCCAGATGTTTGGGATTCCTGGCAATATTTAAAGGCTGCTTTCTAAGAGAACCCAATTTCCTTTAAAAAGTTTGTTAATACATTCTTATTTTTATCAATTTCATGAAAGTAAAGTATTAATATAGGGAGTAAGCTATATTTGCAAAATAAGCTTTGTACTTTGGACAGAAGCCAGTTCTAACATTTAAATGCTCTGCATGTTTAATAACTCTCAGATCAGACTCTCTTCCTAATGCATATGCATGATCCATACAGCTGTATTCACAATGAACTGAATAATAGCATGTGAACTGACAGAAGGATATCACAAAAGCTGGAGAATAAAAGCACAGCACAAGTTATTCTTATTGCCCTTCCCCCACCAAACAGTTTATCCTTTGTGTTGCTTTACTACTTACCATGCCCTCAAAGCCAACCCTGTAAAGGTTTTTAGCTCCATTGTCCCAAAGAACATATGCTGCACTGTGTGGGCTTGATGCACTCCAGTCCTGAATTTCAGTTACCTATTTAATTAAAAAATGAAAATAAAAATACTGCTTCTAGTACATTGATCCAGTAATCTATGTTGAATGTTTAACTTCATCAACCACTTATGGATAAGAAGTAAGATAGTAGTTGTATTTTTTCTTATTTTTTTTTTCCCCAACCAAAACCTCTTTTTCTCCTAACAACGTATCCAGAAGTTAAGGTTTTCTATGAAGTAAGCATTTCAGATTGGCATTTCAATAAAAAGCCTAAATATTTATTTGATGTGAACAGAAACCCCCCCCCCCCCCAAATTTTCAGGCTTATGGTGCTTTGAAAAGTCCAGACCTAAAAAAAATTCACGTAAGGCAGCAAACAAAATTATTCTAACAATTTCAACTTTTAAAAAGGCAACTGCCTTAAGCTAGCTAAGGTGGTTCAGCATAGTGGTAGTTTTATATTATGTGAATATAGTTATATTATGTAAATTATACTATTTAAGTGTTTGGATAGTCTTTCAGTATTAGGACAGAAGAGCTTAAGTAGAGAGGAACTTTTCCCCCTTTTCTGAATTACCAACAAAAATTTAGCAAATGCAATCCTCAAAACTCCATTATGCAGTCAAGCAAGTTCTTGAACTTGTTACCGAGTAATAACATTCTAATTCTACATCTATCCAAAAGCCTTGTGTTTTTCAGTATTTTCAGTCTCTTTTTTTTCAGTTTAGTTCTCTTATCCGGAAAAGATCATGATGGAAGAATTTCCACAATAGCAGGGGTTGACAGCACACAAATGGGCAGCAGCTGAAAACTTCCTTTAATTTTTTTTCATTTTTTTATTTTGATTTTAAATGTGTGATCCTCGTTAACAGTTAACTCACTTAACCATGGACTTAATAAATAAGTAAAGGCTAATTCTAGGTCAGTGCTGAGGCACCTTTACTTTGAATGCAGGAACATATAAATTCATCAAAATATATGTAACAAAATAAACCTGATAAAAAAAGCATCAAAGCATCAGTTCACTAATAGGTAAGAAAATGAAAATTCAAACTCCTATAATCTCTTATGTATGCTAATAAAATTATGGAAAACATACATTTCCTGTTTAAAATCCAAAACAATACCAAACTATTCTTAGCATATTAGTTCTTTTGCATGCTCTTCCTACAGTTTCCTTAGCCTAAAATTATGGATTTACAACTGCATTTCATTTAATCTAATCTCCCACTAGGAAGATGTCTTATTATTCTAAAGCATCAAAATACCACAAACCTATTCCGGGAACATGAATAGAGCAACTACATCTAAATGCCAACAATATTTTAAAGCCCAAAACCAAACAGGTAAATCCTCCAGAATTACTGGACTGAAGTATGCAAGATTTAATTTAAAAACAAAACACACACTTGTAAAAAACAGCACTGCATAAATTCAGAGGTATCCCCACAAGCAGTTATAATGCAACATCCTTTATTGGGAAAACTGATGGATAGCACTCTAATTCCTGATGGTTATAAGGCTCATCCGTAATCTACACTGTTTAGAGGTGCACCAACACACTGGTTCATATCATATCAGCACCAGTAAAAGGAAAATTGACATGATTGGCAATCAGCTTTTTTGACCGATGAGGCCAATAGCACTGATAAATGCCACATAGATGTGAGCAGCTGCAGCGTGCACGTAGCCGGGAATACAGCCCAGCAGCTTGGAGAGAACCATCTGACTGGTGAGTCTGTGGGGGAAGGGGTGGGGTGGGGCACGGGACAGAGCCATGGGCGGCTCAGCCAGAGGGCTCCCACTGCTGCATGCAGCGTGGGAAAGGCACTGGGGACATGTGCCGCAGATTTCTGCATGGGACGAGGGCAGGAAGTCCATTGCAGGCTGGGGCCAGGAGCTGTGCTGGCTTCTTCCCAGGATGGGGACTCTGCTTGGGGTGAGCAGCAAGGGGATGATACAGTGAATGTTGGGGCGGTTGTAGCACCACCACGTAATCTCCCCTCCCAGCTTACCCTGCCCAGCTCCCCCCACCTCAAGAATATGCTGGTGCAGTCCCCAGCCCCAGCCTGCAGCTGGCTGCCCACCCTTGCCCTGTGCACAAATCCACGAGGGCACACGCTCTCCAAGCTGCCGGGCTGCATATTGGCAGTTGGATCAGTACTGGCCAATATGGCCGATTAATAATCAGCAGGACAGGTAGTTTAAATAATTGGCCATAAAAAATGTAGTCTTAAAACTCATATCTACATCTGATAACTTATAATTGTATATGAACTACCTATCTGGAGAATGACAGTGAGTCTGAAAAGTAGGTAGCTAATTAAAATGTTATCAAAGTAATCTAGAAAGCTCTTGGACATTACCATGCATTATGAGCACAGGGGGAAAAGCGTGTGTGCATGCACGTATGGAAGTTCTTACCTTCCCCCTACGTCCATTGCCACCATCTTGATCTTCCCACTGCCAATCAACTCCACGTACAACCCTGGCACCTGCAAAGATTCCTCTTGCTGTGATTTTTTTTGATTTACGACGAGACTCTAACAGTACCCTGAAGTGGAAGGGGGAAGAGGGAAAAACCCATTAAATTACAAGTTAATAAAAGCTACACCTGAGTAGTCATGAAACAGGACATATAGCCAAAATTTAAAATAGATCATTGCAAGTTTAACACTATAAAACATCAGGAACTAAGTATTTCTGTGTATATATTCACTTTTTAATGCAAAAGCTCAGAACATTACATCTTAGCATCTGAAAAGTCACAAGATTAAAAGATCTTTCTGCATTTGAGTTGTAAGTTTTTGCAATTAATACTTTAAATTTCATTTAATTAGTTTCCTTAAGCCTCCTGTTAACAACCATACTGAAACAATTAACACCTGAGTATTTGTGTCTGTAACTCAATGTCAGAGCTATCTATATTTTAGCATGAACAGCATTCTGCACTGTTCCCTACCAGTATTCCATTTTTATTCATTTTATTTTAAAATTAAGCTATTTAAAAACAAAACTGTCTTCCTCAATGTCATTCTCTGAAAATATTTTTTTCTTTCTTCTGGGTGCATTGGCACCCTTCATTCAAGTGTTTCCTCATTAATGTTTCATCATAACTCTGAAAAAATAAATCTCTTACCCTTCTCTGTCTGCAGCAGAAACTATGCCACATGTACCAAAATCAACCCCTCTGAACAAAGCACTTCTTTATGAGTACCTGAGAAGATGGGCTTAATTTCCTTTCAAGGCCACTGTCCTGAGCAGTGTCACTCTCCAGTTTCATGGCATGAAACTTGAGAATGTTGCCAGACAAAGGATATTTTTTGGCAGAACCTTAGATTTTTTTTCTTGAGTCTCTTTCAGAAAAACTCTCCTGCTGAACTTCTCACAGCCAGCAGATGGGGTAATAGAAAATGTAAGCTGCAAAATCAATTCTTAGCGATTCCTACTTTTTCCATCCAGCAAAAAGTAAGTCTGGAAGTACATGAAAATATGTTTTATTTAAAACAGATATCAGCAATCTGTCAGAAGAATTTAAATGTCTCAGTTTTTTCAGTTATTAATAGGTTTCATATGAACATGCAGTTCCTACGTTATTATGCGCTCAAGAATGACAAACTCCTCATTTTGCTTCACCCAAGAATAACTTGATGTAGCTGGATGCTTTTCTTGTGAGCTGTCCCTCAAGTTCCATGACAGTAAATATTAATTTAAGTCTGTTTTTCACAGATAAATTGGATCCAGGAACAACAGTTCCTTGGAAGCTGAAACAGTCTCTTTATTTATGAACAATATAAAAGCAGAAGTCAAAGCGGAGCAAAGAAAGAAGCCAAGGGAATGAAACATTGAGATGGCATGAATGTTACACTGACTGCTATAATTACCTGTCTGCAAAGCCAGAAGGAAACCAATGACCTGTACAGGGGTACACCAATTAAAAAGAATGTTTCAGAGGTATAAAAACCCTCTTTTAACAGAGATGAAATGTTTAATTACCCAAACAAAATTACTGGAATAACATTCTTTGAGGCAGTGAGAAGTTTAAGCAGAAACAAACTTTAATATGGGGCATTTTTATATAAATCATTTTTTCTTGCTAGTCATTTTATGTTGTACTATAAGTAACTGAAGACCTCTCGCCTGTACTTGGCCCAACTTCTACTTTAAGTTTTGGCCTGCAGCAAAATTACCCTAATAACATCAAACTGATGTCATGTGGTGCCTAAATACTTCACTAGTGTGAATATTAGAAATGCAGAGATAGGGAATTTGTTAAAGAAAAAATTAAGATCGGCATCTGAGTAGTTGCCGATTAGCCTAAATTACAAAGAAACAGGAAAAAATTACTCAAAAGACTCTAGTAATCAGTTACTAAGCATATCCCTTCAAGCATACACCTCCTATACACAAATTTAAGTATGAAAACACAAATATGCATGGGTTTCACCAGTGGAAAACTTCCTGTTCATTTATCACCTGCTTGTAAATGACATGCTTTCCACAGGCCTTAATTCTAATATCTCTCTTTAAAGAGGAACAAGGATCAGTTCTTCTTAGAATATGGCATAAGCAGGTATGTCCCCCTGTTTAATATGGGAGTATAGGTAGCGAAGTAGTCTGGGCCACACCATGACAGCGGAGAACATTCTAAGGAAGAAGCAAAATACTGAACATGCGATAGCATTATATTTACCGTTTATATAAATGCATAAAAGGCAAATCTCTTCAGCTATTACCTTACGCATACTAAAATTATATAACCAAATGAGAGCTTAGAAAAGATAACAGCAATAAATGTCAAGGGAAATGTACACACTTTTACCTTTCACTTCCTGGTGTGGTTATTCTGTAAAAACGATGTCTCAAGTGATGTTTGTCCCCATGATAACAGACTGTGCACAAGTCATAATTTGTACATTCTGCACATTTCCATCGAATCCCAATGATTGGTTGTTGGCGACAAGTATCACACATAGTTCCATCGTGCTTGATTCCTATAAAAAACAAGACAGACACTAGTAATAAAGAGATTTCTTTATTATACCTCCAAAAATTAAGATAACAAATTAACATGTTAATAGGCCAATGGGTTTTAACTGAGACACTGTATCAGTTTGGGTAAATCAAAAATAATTAACTGAAGGAAAAGTTCTGGGTAATTTCCTTACTATTTCTGGTTGCCAGTCTATGATTGAAAACTTTTAGTTCCTTCTCAGCTATTGAATTTTGTTGACAGCAAGGTTCATTTTTCCTGCTATTTATTCTGGCCAGACAGACTGGCTTTCCCTTTGGGACAAAGTCCTTCAAGCACAGAACAAATTACCAGGAAGCCATGTTAAAAAATACCAGGAGTTATGAAATTACAGATGTAAGCGTTATTACTATCCGCATGTGATATACAACAATGGACTAAAATGATTAACTATGTGGTAACCATGGTTGACAGCTGATGCTTTAGCTTAATTCATATTTATTGTCTATAGGATAATCAAGGGTCTTAAATTCCATTTAATCTGTATTTTAATGAAAGTATAAATAAAGTGTTTGATTGTAGCAAGCTCCTCAGCAAGTGTCATTAACTTCAGTAGAATCTATACTTTGATTTTGAAACTTTCTAGCCTTTATGGTATGAAGGATAATGCATCACAGATGAAACAAGTTCAAACTATTAGAGCAGCAGTAAGCTGCCGGCCAGAGTGACCCAGTTCAGGTCCCACTTCTCCCTACAGCAGCACAGGGAGACGGACTGCAGCAGACACTTCACCCTAACAGTGACATGGGAAAGCAACTGCTGCCAAAGCTCTGCGCTGCCAAGCGCCATCAAAGTCCCTTGTCTGCAGACCACATTAAATGAGCTTTGTGGACAGTAGGTCGCTGATCTCTGTACTAGAATATTTTCTTCCTAATACTGACAAAACAGAGCTCAGGTGTCTCTACATATGCTCACAGTTTTACCGAGCTGCAGCAGAGTGAAACTGACCTGCTGAACAATTTTCATTACTGCAATTTTTAATCCTGTGGACAACTAAGCTAACAAACATGTCAACCTCATGCTACTTAAGCAACAGAAGAAAAGTACTGGAATTATTCACTGTATAGGACAATGCAAAAATTGATACTGTGACAGATCACAGTAGCACAGAATTCTCGCACCACAACCCTTGAACTAAATAAATGCCTTGAAATTGAGACAGGAAACAGAATATTTTTTTTTTTGTCCAGGAAAGTAAGCAGTTTAACAGATAGGGCTTTCAAATATGCCTTCTCACTAGACACTGATGCAAAAGTTCTCATGAAGATTTGCAAGCAGGTGAAAGTAAAATAACTTTTTTCTCCCATCTGGCTATTTATCCTAGAAAGGGGTTTCTCTTACCTCATCTTTTATCAGTATTTGGCTATAAAGTCATCTAGAAAAATTTCCTGCTTGGGTGCAAATATTTCCTTCATACCCAGAGGAAGAAAACAAAAAGGCTGCCTCCTGAGGCCTACTCACAAGCCCTAGCATAGGCAGCAACAGGGGCCAGGCCCAAAGCATTGAAGAAATTTTAAGCTGCACTATAGCCACATGGCAGTCTGGGCTGCCCACCATAAATTAGATAAATAGATCTGAAGGTCTAAATTTTTATGGCAAAGTCTCTCCAGATCTAAGAACAGCCCATGACTAGGTATGTACAAAGTTGGCTTAAGGATTAGGTATGTACAAAGTTGGCTTAAAGACAATTTAACAGGCAACACTTCTCAGAGCAGCATGAAATTGTACCCATCAACTATGAAATGCTATTTTTAATAGCAATATTCTTCTAAACAAGTGACCCCCCCAACACAGGACTCACAGATAACATGCTACCTGCAAGGTCTTCCAACACTGCTCATGACCAGAGGACATTAAAAAGTTAAAACTGAGCTTGAGGCAGACAATCAAGTATGATGCTGATACAGTGAGTTACTGGATTAGTATCTTTGCCCATCAGACAAATAGTTGTTCACCTCTGTTCTGGCCTTGTGAATTACCACTACCTTTGGAGGTTTAAAACCTACAGTAAAGCTTGTTCATTGCACCAATTTAAGTGAGGGGGGTCAAAGATACAGCCCATAGGCTAGATGCTGCCTGCAGAGCCATATCACCTGGCCCTCAGTGCTGCTTACCACATGTACCACCCGCTGGCTCTAATCCCACTCCATCGGACACAGGCTGCACACAGTGCAGGCTCAATCAATGAGTGCAGGCTACACATGGCACCCACACTGAACCAGCCATACACCCTGGATATGGGACCAGTCCACATCTCGGCCCATAGATCAACCCAATGGGCCAGACCCAGCATGCAGGCCAGTCTGGCACAGGCACTGCATGTAGCTCGCATACTGGACCAGCCTCACATGAGGGGGTTGGATCTATACATGAGGGGCCAAGGCTGCATGCATCTGGCATGTGGAGCTGAAGCTAATACAAACACTGAAAGCAGCACATGGTTGGTGCACAGTGCATGCGGCACCTGCTCCAGACCAGCCCTGCAGGCTGGATCCAGCACATGGTCTGTAGAGCTGATCCAGCCTGTGTTCCTTCCTCAGGGCCATGAAGCTGGATGTTTTGAAACTCCTAATTTAAGCAAATGTAATGCTTGAAAAGGTTGGTGACTGATAATTTTAATCTTGATAGTTCACATCTCAATACTAAATAATACTTGTTCACAGAAAAAACCTGTTCCAAAATTGTTGGGGGAAAAAGCAAAACAGACCTAACATGATGAAAAATTGAGTAAATCCATAGTTGGGCTCATAAATTAGAGGGTAGAATTTTTTTTTGCTGCTTTTACTTCTTAAGAAGCTGTCTTTACAGCACTTCATATAACCCAAGTAAGAATGTATAGATACAGATGTGATGCAAATCCATTTTTCTTCCAAAAAACCAGGATGAAATACAAAAAGAAAAACATTCTACTGGCCACTTTATTATCCTGGAGCTTCCTGATCATTACTTGAATCATTTCCTTGATGGTTATGTTCTTCCCCACCCCATCTGCCAGGTGTTTCCAAAAGTATCTCTTAGACTGGAAACAGATGTCCTCTTCGGAGCACGATCAGCTGTCACACATTCTGGCATGGCACAGCTGACCCGATTCACTGACTGTCATGCCTCAGCCCCTCCTGGAGCTTGAAATGCCCAGTCCCAAGAGAAAAGGGCCCCGGATGCTATGCCCCAACACAGAGCCCAAGTCTGCAAGTGGGAAACCTCCTGCTTGCGGTGGCATCGCCTGGCACACATCTGCAATGCAGAGCGGGGAACTCCCAAGAGGGTATATGTGTGCTAGGGCCAACATGCTTTTCTTGCTGCCACACCCCAGGGGCAAACAGAGAGGGGAACCCCTATGGGAGTTCCCTTTCTATGCTTGCAGACATGTGCCACAGGAATGAGGTGCATCATGGCAGGAGAAGACATCAGCTGCAAAAAGGAGGCACAAATGATTACTAGGGTTGCTGCTGCAACAAAATTAAGGCACTTTTGGTACAACAAAGGACTAAGATGTCTAGTCTCTCAGCTTCTGTGCCACCATCAAAATTTTCATCACAGCACAAAGTCAACATCTAACTGGAGCCTTAGAGACGAGGAGGGAGAAACTTGGCTGTTGCACTCTGGTGGTAAGGGGTTAGAAGAGAGCTACGCTTCTGCAATGGGCAAGTAAAAAGGAGGAGGAAAAAATGTGATATCATCAGATCATGAGGTTGACCTGATTGATTCCTGAAGTGTATATATGTGGAATATTTTAGTTACCTAACCGCACTGTTCGGAAGACATAAAG